AAAACTGTCCGTTTTCCCCCATTTTGGATGACGTTAGTAATAGGTGTGTCATAAATGGCTTTTGTCAGATTGAGATAAGGTCCTTTCATATCTATTTTCTTCAGGGTTTTTGTCATGAGCAGATGTTAGATTTTGTCAAAGGCCTTTTTCTGCATCTATTGAAATGATCATGTGATTTTTATTCTTGCTTCTATTTATGTTATGGTTTACATTTATTGAATTGTGTATGGTGAACCATTCTTGCATCTCTGGAATGAAACCTCATTGGTCATGATGTATGATCTTTTTTGTGACTTGTTGCATTCTGTTTGCCAGTATCTTCTTGCAGATTTTTGTATCTATGTTTATTAAAAAGATTGGCCTCAAGTTCTCCTTTTTGATTGGCTTCTTGTCTCATTTTGGAATCAGAATAATGCTAACTTCCAGAAATGACTTTGGGGGTATGTCTTCCCTTTTAATTTCATCAAAGAGTTTGAGGAGTTTTGATCTTAGATCTTCCCTGAAACACTTATAGAATTCAGCAGTAAATCTATGAAGACCTGGCTTTTCTTAGCTGGTAGTCTTCTCTAAATTACTATTTCAATTTCATTGCCTGTTAGCATATTATTCAGGGGTTTTAAATCTTCTTGTTTAAATTATATATATATATATATATATGTATATATATATATATATATATATATATATATATATTTGTCTCCATTTCTTCTGAATCCTCCATTGATTAGTATACCTGTTTGTGAAGTAATTGCTATTAATTTCTGGATTTTGGTGGTATTCATTATGATTTCATCTTAAATTGCACTGATTTGGATTTTTCCTTTCCTATTTTTCATTGGCTTAGGGTTTATTTATTTTGTTCAATCTTTCAAAGAAGTAGCTCTTTGATTGAGTCATTCTTTGTAATTTTTGTCTCTATTTTATTGATTTCTTCTCTGATTTTTAAAATTTCCTTTCTTGTACAAGCTCTGGACTTGGATTGTTCTTATTTTTCTAGGACCTTGAGATGTAACCTAAGTTTATCTATTTGGGCTTTTTTTTTTTTTTTTTTTTTTAATTTGGACATTCATAGCTTAAAACTTCCCCTATAGAACTGCTTTTATTATGTCTTACACGTTCTAGCATATTACTTTGGCACTGTTATTTAATTCTAGTAACTGTCTTATGTCTTGCTTCATTTCCTCTGTGATCCATTGATTATTCAAAAGTATGTTGTTTAATTTCCATGTGTTTGCATAATTTCTGTGGTTTCTTTTGCAATTGGTTCTAATTTCGTTGCACTATAATTTAATGATAGCATGGTTTTACAATTTTGATTCTTTTGCATTTCCTTCAGCATGCTTTATTGGCTGACATGTGGTCTATTTTGGAGAAAGTTCTATGTGCTGCTGAGAGGAATGAGTAGACAATTCATAGACGTATTGAGCAGACAACAATAGACTTGTTATTGCCAAGTCAAACATTCTGTAAATATCTATTAAGTCCATTTGTTTAAAGGTTTGGTTGAATTCTTCTATTTCTTAGTAATTTCTTGTCTAGTTGGTCTTTTGGTAATAGTAGGGTATCATAAATAGGGTCTCACAGTATAATTGTAGTGATGTTTATCTGATCTTTTATATCTAATAGTGTTTGTTTTATGAAGTTGAGTGCACTGTTGTTTTGTTCATATACGTTTATAATTGTTATCTCTTCCTGTTGAATCATTCACTTAACCAACATCCTTCTTTTCTCTTCTGATTGCTTTTAGCTTAAAGTTCACTTTGTCTGAAAATAGGATAGGAGCTCACTCCTTCTTGATTGTCAGTTCCTATTGCATGGCATATTAATTTCCATTCCTTTATTTTTAGTTTATGGATTTCTTTTTGAGTTAAATATGTCTCTTGCATATGTTTAATATGTTTCTTGTATATGTTAAATAAGTTTCATGTATATATTTCTTCTATGTTTCAGCATATCATTGGCTGTTTCTTGATCCATTCTGAAAATCTGTATCTTTTGATTGGCAAATTGAGATCACTCACAATGCAAGTTATTACTGATAAGTATCAGTCTATTCCTGTTATTTATTTTTCATTTGTTAGCTCTTTTTCTTTCTCTTCTATTTAATTGTTTGCCATACCTGATGCATTCATTCTGTTGTATCTTTGGGCACTGTTAGTTTCATTGCTCCTAGAATATTCTTGAAAAGGTTTTGCAGGGCTGGTTTGGTGATCAAAAATTTTTAAGTGCTCTTTATCATGGAAATACTGTATTTTTTCATCAATTTTGAAAAATTGTTTTCCAGGATATATCATGTTGGGTTGGATGTTGTTTTCTTTTAGGGTTTGAAACACGTCACTGCAAGCTCTTTTATCCTTTAAGGTTTGTGTTGAGAAGTCTGCTGTAATTCTAACAGGTTTGCTTTTATAAGTGATTTTTTTGTTTTTTTCTTCAGCAGCATTTAATTTTATGTTCTTGTGTTGGACATAAATATCTACTAAATGGAATATCTTTACCTCCACCAATAACAGAACAGAATTCAACAGCAATAGCATATAACTAATGATCTATAGATTTATAAAGCTTAATGGTTACCAGTAAAGCAAGAGGATGTGGGGAACAGGAGTGAAAAAGTGAAATTTGAAAACCATCCAAGAGAAGGTTGTGAAGTGGGAGGATCTCTTCATTATTAGCAAGGTACATATGGCATATGTTAACTTCATGGCAGGAAGAAGCATCTGGATATTGTCGGCAGCAAGAACTCATCATCTATATATCTGTATTTCCTATATATCCATATCTTCATCTCTGCCTTTGTTACATTCCCAGATAACAACATCCAAACCCCAAAGCACATTGGTATGTGGAAGATGCTGCTGATTCCCTACCTTCACTGGAATTTGTTTTCCATAGAGGAGACAGCACCCCTAAGCCTCTGATGCTCTTGGTCTCCCTGTTTTCTATCAGTGGGATTCATCTGTGCAGTGGCAGATAGAGTCTAAGGGTGCAGTCAGGGATAGTGCTAATACCCACCTTTCATTTCAGTACTGTGGTCTCAACAGCCATGATCTTGAGGTTATCAGCCACAGAATGTTTTCTAAAATGATAGAAGCACTTTTTAAATTGTCATATTAATTTCCTTTTATTTCAGTTCAGTGAATGATTACTTATAAAATGTGATAAGAAAAGTGGAGTGGAGGTTGGATGTGAGGGTTTTGAGAATATTTGGATCTATATTATACTCTACTTACTAAAAGATATTAGTTCCAGGTACTTGAAAGTGCATGTAATGAAACAAATAAATGCACTGTGCACAGTGGCAACAGCTGGAAAAACTCTTTGTCAAGTTACCACTTGGTGCCTGCTAGGCTTGGGGATATGCTGTGCAGTCAAAAAGCCATCTGCTTCCAGAGGCATAGGAATGATTGAAATGTAAAAGCTACTCATAATTCCTATCCTCAGCAATCTGGCAACCAAGGAAAGGAATAAGACAGGTAAATAAATATGTAACCAGTGGCCACATTATGGTTAATGATGTACAAAACAGGATGCTAAGAGCATTAAAGATGTAAATTGTCTCAACACTTAAAAAATGTCATTGACATGCTTAGCCTTGAGGACAGCGTACTGGATCACGTGCCTTAGTCAACTTTGTTATAAATAGCCTATTGTCAGGTTAGATCAGGCTGCAAGTCACAAGGCAGAGAGAGTAAATATAATGTCGCTCTTTCTGTCTCCACTCCTGACACCTCCTTGAGCTCTGCAGTTGTGGTCAATATTCTTTGAGAGAAACATGGTAAAGGAGGCCTGTCAGAAGATTCTCAAGGATCTGAAACTAAACTAGACCTCTATCTTATTCACTGGCCACAGGGACTTTAGGTTTCTATACTCCCTTCCCCAGTCTTGTGCTATCTAACAGATAAATGTTAGTAAATAGCAACTGAGCCACGACTAGACGTGGGAGTGGACTAGAGGAGAAGGTCTTGTGCAGACCAGAAAGGCAGTGGTCTGGAAGGGAGGTCAGACCACCTGTGCTTGCTGATGTGGCTGCATCTTTAGGTTTTCTTGCAGTTTTGCCTGACGGAAGCTGTGATTTCTGGTAATCCAAGCTGCAACTGCCATATTGCCTTTGTCATAATTCCATGCCCCCAGGTTGCTATTAAGGGGAACTCTTTTTTTTTTTTTTTCCGGTACCGGGAACCGAACTCACGACCTTACGCTTGCCAGACAGGCACTTTGCCGCTGAGCTAAATCCCCAGCCCCAAGGGGAACTCTTGATGTGTTCTTCATAATGTTGTTTTATGCTCTAACTTTCTGTTAACTAAAATGCTTCCTGAGAGTGGCCACTTAGAGCAAAACTCACGTATGGTGAGCTGTAAGGTAGATACGAGTTCTGGCTGAAAAAGCAACACTCATTGCCCAGAATTCTGTTCCTGCCTGCTCCTGAGAGCAGGGGTATATGAGGCTGATATTAGTGGTTGTAGGGAGTAGCAGGAGCTGGAAATTGAGGGCAGAACAGAGTCAGAGTGCCTCAAGCTACCTCAGTCTTGAGAAAAACATCCTGCCTGGACAATTTCAGTCATTAGTTTCTAGGCAACATTGCCTTTCAGATACTAATTTTGCAAATTAGTATCAGGATATAAATAAATGCCCCTACTATTGTTGTTAAGTCTTCCTGCCCATCAGGTAAGAGGCCACTTCATCTGTTCCCAGTTTTTTGTCTCTTGTCTTTATTTTCTAAATCCCCTCACTGTTTTCTCCTGGAGGACCACTGAGAGACCACCGAGTCCTACAGTGGTGACAATGATGGCTTAAAAATGAGTTTTAAAATCAATCTAGTGGTTTTGAATGTACTACTATTTAGATACTTATGTAGAGTGAAACAAAGATTTTACTGAAGTGTGTTCTTCAGCAATTGATAAAATGGTTTGCAGATGTGTATATTTAGCATGAGTCAAGATCCTGAAATGTTGTTTAACAGAAACAACTGGTTGCATTCGGCTTTTTCTCTGCATTTATAGGCTGGGAAGGACTTATTCCCCAAAGATGATACAGACAACATGCTCACAAGTAAATGAACATTCGTGGATGTCTGGGAGGTAAGTTTCAGGTTCTTCAACATGTGCTGGGAGAGAAAATTTCCCCTTAGTGACTCTTGAGACTCCTCCCTGGTATGAAAGAGCCCATGTGCCTTGCATCTGACTTTATCACTATTATTCTCCAGTTCTTCTATCGCCTTCTTCACAACCTTTGGGGTTTGCAATTCTATTTATATTTGATTCTACCTACATTTTCAAGTCCTTGTTTACACTGGTGTGTTCAAGAGTTATACACATGTGATTTTCCAGAAGATTTAGTGTTTTATTTTAATATTCAGATCATTGATCCATTTTGATTTTAGTTTAGTTCTTGGTGAAAGATATGGGTCTAGTTTTAATCTTCAGCATGTGTGTAGTGGTTGATAAATTGTCTAGAGGAGTCTAGAGGTTTGGCTAAGTGACTCAGCAGGAAGCTAGGGTGCTTACTTTGTATACATCCTGAGCCTGTGGAACAGGAGGGCATAGAGATTATGTGAGAGCTACACGCCTCTTAGGTGGGGATAGCCTGTTTACAATGTAAGGGAGGGAAAGAGGCTGCTGGCCATGATTCCTCCTGTTTGCTCTAGCTGCTTTGCTGTTTGGCTGCCATTCCCCCCTTTGCTCTTGTTTTGTTATCTTCTGCCTCGGAGCCAGCCAAGTATGGACTGTAACCTCCACAAACTGTAAGCTAAATAAACCTTTCCTTCCTTAATTTTGGGAGTTGGGTATTTTGTCTCAGCAACGAGAGAAAAGTAACCAAGACAATGTGGAAAGCCAGTTTGTGAGTTTCTCTAAGAATTCTCTCTTATTGTGTTGGTTCAACAAAATCTCTGAACCTCAAATTTCATTCGAAGTTAGGTTTATTTCCAAATTTCAGCCTGTCATGTTTTAAGTCTATTCTAAAATAAAAAGTTTCAAAATTTTCTTGCATTACCATCTTTCATTTCTGGAGAAAGGAACTAGAATATGAAATTTTCAAGTAAGTAAAATGTCAAAAAATATAATATTATATGAAAAACAGAGAAGTTAGATGACAATAATGGCCTACCTCCTGTGTATTCATGGAAGGGAGAAAGATAGAGCTGTTTCACTTCTTTTCAGAATGCATTGAAACCATCATTACTATCTGTTGGGCAAATCACTTGAAAAAATTGCACCATAAAAAATGCTCTATCTTTTAATTCCAAAGAAAATGTTACACAAATCACCTTTCTCAATAATCCTACCTCTGTCTAACTCTAAACTTTGAATATTTGAAATGCTTATTGTTTTCTTGGACCCTAGTTAACTTATTTCCCCATAATTGTTAATGTTTGAGTCTCACTGACTCTTTTGTGAAGCAAGCGAACGTTATTTGGGGTACTCGCCAATCAAACATAAAGATCAAATTATTCAGAAGTCCCACAAGTTGAGACAAGAAGATATAGTTATGTTTGGTTCCTTTAGTTTGTTTTAATGACTTAAGTTTTGAAATTGAAAACTCAAATAAAAATACATTATAACATCCAGTATGCCACATTAAAAACATAGCCAGTGGGATATACCCATGACTTTTAGGTAAACTGCTTTGAAGAATAATCTTTTTTAAAATTTTAGTAGTACATATTTGTCACAATGAATATATAACTGTGGAGAGGTGGTACATATCCATATCATATTTTAGTCTCTTTTACTTCCCTTTTCCTTCCTCCCCAGACACCTTTCCCATCTGCAAAAGGTCTACCTTCCTGTTCTCTATCATATCTCTTTTATTTTACCCTTTACATAATTTATACTTCAAATTTCCCATATAGGAGAAACCATGCAATATTTAATCTTCAGTGTGATTTATTTCACTTAACATTATGATCTCAGGTGCATTTTCCTACAAATGACACAAGTTTATTTTTCTTTATGGCAGAGTAGTATTTCTGAGTCATATATATATATTTTTCTTTATTTGTTCCTCTGTTCATGGACATATATAGACCATTGCCAAGATTTAGCTTTGGTGAATTGTGCTGCTATAAACATGGGCATACATGTATCACTGTAATATGATGTATTTAATTCTTTTGGGAGAATACCCAGAAGAAGTACAGCTGGGTCAAATGGAATTTTTATTTTTAATGTTTTTGAGGAGCCTCCATATGGATTTTCATACTGGTTGTAGTAATTTATATTCCAACAATGATGTAGAAGTCTTCCTTTCTCCATATAACTTTGCGAGCATTTCTTGTTTTTTCAGTGTGTGATGATAGCCATTCTTTCTAGAATACAATGAAATCACAGTGCTGTTTTAGTTAGCATTTCTTTAATGGCCAAAGATGCTGAACATTTTTTCATGCTTATTGGCCATTTTTACTTGTTCTTCTGAGAAATGTCTGTTTATTTCAATTGCCCATTTTATGGTTGGTCTTTTACTTTGGGGATGCCTGACTTTTTTAGTTCTTTCTATATTCTAAAGTCTATTCTATTAATCCTCTGAGGAGTCGCTGACAAAACCTTTTCCCATTCTGTAGGTTTTCTCTCTCTTCACTCTATTGATTGTTTCTATGTTTTACAGAAGCTTCTTAATTTGATATGATCCCATTTGTTGACTCAGTGTTATTTCTTGTGTAATTGGTGTTCTGTTTAGAAAGTCCTCACCTATGCCTATGTTCTGAAGAACACTTTTGAACATCAAAGTCTTTTATGTCATTAATGGAAGTACTGAGAATTGTGATTTTTAATTTCTGAGAGGTCATTGCGACTTAATAATGTACCAGTCACCAAAGCTATAAAGTTTATACCCTTTCATTTTACCGAATGTGATATCTTGAGATGATGAGACAAAAATAGCAAAATAATATTGTGGTAGATGCATTCAGGAGAAGGACTGGTATGTAATTATTCAAATTGGAGCATTAGAAAACTTCAAGTGAACTCTGCACATTCAGGGTGCTAAAGTAACAGATATGGAGAAGAGTGGGCATGTGCATTGGAGGATTACGTGCATGCTGTGGATGTGATTGCTGACAATGAATAAAATCCCATTCTTGAAAACTGCATTTTTAAAAACCCCGTTCTTAAAATTGTTTGCAAATTGAAGAAAACACAATCACAGAAGACAAGGACATCTGCTTTTGATTGATACAAAATGATAACAATTCTCTGGAAATGTTTAAAAATGGACAAAATGTATTTTTAAAAGTTTTTAAGATAGTAGGTATTAAGCAGTAGAGACAGTGATAACTGAGACACTGTAAAAAAGGAGATTCACTCTTGCCCCAACCCACTGTCCTGAGTGAGTTTTTAGGTTTCTGTGTAAGAGGAGGATCTGGGGAGAACCTAGTAGGAGAACCTGATTTGAGGAGATGGTGCTGAATCTGGAGAAAATGAGACAGAGTTTTCAGAAAAGAATAGTAGAGTGGAGAGATTGCAAAAAGAGAAGACTCTGTAGCTATTCAAAGGATCCCCTCAAGCATTCAGTGAGATTCTATCTCATAGTTCACAGGGTACTGGATAGAGTATCCACAAGGGTCTTGTCAAAGTAATGGGGAAGAATTAGACCTGTAATAGACAAATCTTCAATCCTGCTTAACAAATCAACAAAGCAGGATCTGAAAGGACAAAATTTTCCACCTAACTGAATTATATCCCAGAAATAAAACATTTCAAGAATATTTATCCAAATAAAAAAATCTATTACCTCACAAGATAAAATTCGCAGTGATTGTCATCCAATCAATAATTTTCAGCTGTACACAGAGAAACAGAAAAATGCAACCAATAATGAAGGAGAAAATCAAGAGAAACAAACTGAAGACTGTCACAGATGAAAAAAGTAGCAGCAAGTTCATTAAAATAGTTATTAAAGCTAAATTTTATGTGTTGAAAAGGTTAGATAGAGACATGGAAGAATAAAGACACTCAAATCAAATTTATAATGATAAAAAACTATGCTGTCTGAGATGAAACTATAAACTGCAGAAGAAAAATTTTGTGGACTTGAAGATACAGCTGTAGAAACTCAAAGAAGAGTTTTGAGTTCACTATTGTAATAAGAGATTAAAATAGCCCTGTCTCAATACTTGGTAGTCAGAAAATAGTGAAAGATATGTAAGCCTTGAAATACAATTTGTGAACCAACATGATTTAATAGACTGTTACAGCACAGACCACCCCCTAACATTAGAATATATTAAGTGTATAAGGAGCATTTGCCAGCACGAACTAAAGTTTGTCCATAAAACAGATCTCAGTAAGTTCATAAGGATTCAATTCATACAAAGACCATTCTATGACTAAACTCAAATTAAATTAGAAATCAGTAACAGAAACATGTCTAGAGGGGCTGGGGATTTAGCTCAGCGGCAAAGCGCCTGCCTGGCAAGGGCAAGGTCGTGAGTTCAGTTCCCGGTACCGGAGAAAAACCAAAACCAAAACAAAAAAACAAAAACAAAACAAAAAAAAAGAAACATGTCTAGAAAACTCTAAATAAATTGGCAAAAATTAAGTAAATTGATGGTATTTGAAGTTTGTGGATGCAATATTCTTTCATATCTATCTCTAAAAAGTACATTGGTATAATTACTTTTGCAAACAATTTCTATTCTCTGGAGAAGTTGAAGATTATGTACATTTACTCCTCAGTAATTTCTGTTCTAAGGAAATTCTTACACAAATCTTTGGTACCAGGCACTTGTGGGTACAAAGATGTTCATAGCAACTTGCTTGTTATAAAAGCAAAAACCTAGAAAAAATTCAAATATTCACCAGGAAAGATTGACACATACACTGCAAAATGTTTAATACAATGGAATATCAAGACAAAGTAACATGAACATATAGTGACAAGAACATGAATGAAATAAACATCATCTTTCATGATCAATTAAAGCAAGCCAGAAAAATATTATGTATGTTAAATTGCTGAATTATATAGAATCCACCAAAAAATGTACACATCAGGAAAAGGAAAGCTTGTATAAATATTTTAATATTCAATTTATTGAGACATCATGCAATTAGCACTTTATCTTTGGTCTCTACACTTACAA